AACCTTTCTGAAGGGCCCTGATAGAATAGACAGCATGTGGTCACTGATGTGACGCCAGCTGGACCAGATCGTTTTCAGCTGCTTCTCAAGTCTGTGAGGAACGCTGGGGCCCAGACCTGTCATGGGCCAGAACCATGTCAAGACATCTGGGGGGTCTGGAAACTCCATGGTTCTTCCAGTACTCTTACTCTTTCCCATAAAGCGCTTTGGATTTCCTTCCCCGCACCCACGAAATGTTCCTCTGTGGACTCGGACTGGGTTTTCTGCACATCCTTTGATTCTGTGTCTTTCCTCCAGCCCTGCACACGTGTGCATCACAGGAGTTAAGGATATCAGAACTCACGGAATCCTCCTCTGGCCAGCCAGTTAGCATCTGTTTCTCAGACAGGATGCTTGGACTGCAAACCCAGCTGTGGGGAGGGCTGAGGCTGGCAGATTCATATTCTTTCACTTGCTGTCTGCTTTTTTAAAAAGAGTTTTATTTTTTAATTTGTGGGGATGTGTATGAGCCTGTGTCTCTGTGTGCGTGCCAGTGGAGGGAGGCCAGAAGACAGAACCAATTGCCTGGAGTCAGTCACAGGCATTTGTGAGCCTCTCCAGCCAGTCAATACGTGTGCTGGGAGCAGAACTGAGGCCCTCCAGAAGAGTACCAAGGTGGAGTCATCTTTCCAGGTCCACCTGTGGATTTATGTTCTCTTGCTAATTTTTAGAGCAAAAAGATATTAACCTCCATTTAATCATAACCCCACAAAGAAACTCTGCCTGCCTCACAGATGAGATGTGAGATGAGCCTTCTCACTCAATCCAGGAGGAACCACCAAAGCCTAGCTCGTGGCTTGGTGTTCTAGGAAGCAGCCCTTTCTAGTAGGGTCTGCAGTAACCCAAGTCGTACTGGGTGTTGTGTGTGACCGTCAGATCATGTCATCTGCCTGCTCAAAACTACTCCAGTCTCCCATTCCATTCAGAAAAATGTTTAAGCTTCCTGGTGGCTGTAAGTCCCACAATGAGGAGCCCCCATCACCTCCCCGCTACGGGCCTCTCATGCTTGCTTAGAGGTTATTACTTCATCAGAGGAGTCTTCCTTGGCCACCATCTACACAACAGTGTTTCCCGTCACCAGGAGCCTTCGTCACTCATTGTCCCTTGCCTCTGTGTAGCTTCATGTCCCTTAAAGTCGTCAGCTGTGTGGTCATTTGTTGGCCACCCGACTCTGCCTACTAAAATCAGAGTTCTGTGACTTTGTTCACTCATGACTCTCACTTTGCAAAACAGTCCAAAGTACGCAGTAACAATAAGTGAATGCCACAGAGATGAACGATTGTGCTTAGGCAGCCAACCGACGCACGCGCTATGACTTGCCCTGAGAGGTACTGTAGACCAAGAAACATGGCCACAGCTCTCTGTTGGGTTGTCTAGAAGGCAGAGGCTAAAAGCTGCACCTAAGATTCCTGTCAATCCACTACTCCCCTCTTCATCAGACGCCAGTTTCTCAGACAGAGACGAACACCGTCCGAGTTCAACTTCCTCTCCTGACCACTGCCTTTTCTACTCTTTGGTGTTAAGAAATAAACCTTGGAGCTCCCTCCTAGTATGAAAGGCCTTCCCAGATATCAGATAAGACACGCGAACTAGATATGAGAGCTTTGTGTCCTAAAATATTTAATTTGGTGCTTCCTCATGTTAAGGCTGGCCAAGCTCTCCTTTGTCTGGGCAAAAACAACCCTTTCAGAGAAGAGACATAATATCTGCTACCCAGTTGTTGAGCCAACAGGTTGAATTTTCTCTGGAAGCCATTCCAATGTGTAAGGATTAGCAAATAATTCCTAAATCAAAAGCATGTTACTTAGCTCATCCATTTCTGAGCTCTCAGAAGAAGAGAGAATCCTCCTCCTTCTCCAACACTGGTGGGTGAGTGAGGCAGGGGGACAAGGCTTTTCACAAAACACAATGCTGAGATAATACTGAAGGAAGGGATCCAGGTCTGCTTTCTGTTCTATTGTCTTATTCTGTCAGCTCCCACATCTCCCCAAATCCAAGCTTAATAATTTACAGCGGAAAGACATTTAATAAATACGTGGCGGGATTGGAGCTGTCGGCTCCACACAATGGGGTTGTTTGCATTTTCCTGCCTGGTGTTAGCACCAGCTCTCTCGGCTCGCTTCAACGGAAACAATCCCATTTGCTATTTTCATAAAATTAGTTCCTCTGCAGTTTCTATTAATCAGAACATTCTTTGGAGAGAATTATACTGGGATTTTATCACCATCTGAGTTCAACCATTCTGCGAGTCTGATGAATTTTTATCACCTCTGAGTGGCAGAGAGGGTAAAACTTGAGCAGGCTGATATGAGCAGGCATGGAGCCCTCACTTGAAGCCAGCAAGGCCTGACAGATTGGGGGATCTGGGCCAGTCTCCCCCCAACAAGCGTCTATAATTTTAAATATTCTTCGGGTCATGGATTTCCTTTCAAATTGTATAAAAGCTACAGCTATTCCACATCTGCATCACCAAGCCACACAATTCTAGTGTGTTTGTGGACGCCTGTTCTGTCTTCCATACACACAGCTATCTATGGACTCCAGAGTTAAAACTGTGTGTTCTGAGCTCTCCCAGTCACCCTTACCTCCCTTAACAATCTTTAGCTGGACTAGTCCTGAACCTCTAAATTCCTTGGTTAAAAGAGAAAGGACTGGGATGTTTTTAGAAGGGAAAATGTGAGGATAAAAATTCTCATGATGGCTGCTATGGTTTAGACAATTGCCCCTTAAAGGCTCATATAGTCCTCAACCCATGGTTGGGAGGATGTAGAATCTTTAGGGCACAGGGCTGAAGAGAGAAGTTAGGTCACCGTGGGGTGTGGGGGGTGTGCCCCTGAAGAGGCTATGGGGCCCAGCTCCTTCTTCTTTCCGTTTCCTGGCAACGCCCCAGTAAGCAGTTTTGCTCTCTCATATGATTCCCACCATGACGTGTTCCACAGACCGCCAAACCACGGGACCAACCAAAGAGAGACCCACCTCGGAAGCTGTGAGCCAAAAGACCTGTTGTCATCCGGAGTTATCTCACTCTTTTATCTCAGTCTTAGAAAGGCGATTAACGCAGTGGCCACACGATTTTTAAAAAGTGAGGGGGGAAATGGAAAAGACAGGGCAGCTCAAAAGTGCTGAAATAAAGTATAAGGGTCTAACATATTGATAGTCACTGCACGGTATCAATGTGAGTGAGACGTGGGATAAAAATTATGAAAGTTTTGACCAACTTTCTATGCTGCCAGCTTACAGAACACCAGCCTCATCTTAAGTAAACTCTGCCTGAGAAAGGAAATGACATAGATGGGAGAAATGTTGTACGGATGGGACAGGTTTCTAGAACTTTCCCTGTCCACTGAATGTGTGGTTTTAGGAAAGATGTAACTTAATCTCTACCTATCTGAGATAAAATAATAATGCGTGACTTTTAAAGTCTGTTCAGGTCTAATAACCAGTTGGACCTGATTCATTATCAGCATCGTTTTTATATTGTTTTATTGAGGTAGCGTCTCAAATAAGGTCCTGGCTGGCCTCACACTTGCCATGTGACTCAGGCTGCTCTCAGACTTGAGAGTCTTCTGCCTCAGCTCCCTTAGTATTTATATTATAGGCATCTCAGGTGGCCTTTCTGGAGTCATCTAAGGTAGAAGAATCAGCTTTTCCCTACAGTTCCCAGAAGGAAGTATTTTAAGCTATGAACCCCATCATCTGTAATTACGGCCCAGCTCTTGTTATTCCAGGGAAACGAGGCACAATCAACATAAAAACAAACAAAGGAGCATACGGTGTGGCAATCACACTTCACTTATGGGCACAGAAGCTTGAATTCCATGGGACAAAGTATTTTTCTTTGGAGAAAATGTACACAAAAAAATTCATGGATTTTTTTTTTTTTTTTGTATCAAAAGGAAAAGGGTCTGGTTGTGTTTGGTTGTTGTTGTTGTTTTCTGTTTGTTTTGAGACAGGATTTCTTCTCTGTGCAGCACTGGCTGTCCTGGAGCTTGCTCTGTAGACCAAGCTGGACTCGAACTCCATCAATAGCAGAACAAATGATGCTACACATGTGTTTGTTCCAGGCCAGCTAGAGCTACGTAGGGAGACTGCAGGGGCGGGGGTGGTGTAGGTGGGTGACTGAATACACTGCATCGGATTCAGACCGAACAGTTTGCTTCCCAGTGTCTCCATAGTTTGTCTAAGGACACAGGTTCAAGGACCGCAGTTCCCAAATCATGTATTGCTTTTGGTTGTTGTCTGTTTTCCCTCTCTGCTTCCACAGTGGAGGATGCAAACTTCGCCCTGTTTCCCTTCACTGGCCTGATCTTTTGATCAAAGACTATAGGCTGGGCACAAAATCTTTACAAATTCTGGGTAGCAGTCAGGGAAGACACTCCTCTGTAAGTGTGGGCCGGCTTCCTGGATAGCATGGTAGTAATGAAAAAGGCTTATTTGACCCCGGGCCTCTTCCCCAGTCTGTCTCTTGGTTTCACTGATCCTGGCTTTGGTACATGTCAAAAGCTAAGGGAAAAATAACGACCAGTAAAATAAGGCTGGGTAAGGATGATAGAACGTGGTGTTATTTCAACTAGTGATCTGGACTCAATTCAGGAGGGATGTTAGGGACTCTGAACGGCAGAACCGATTTGACTTGCCCCCACAGGCCTGGGCCCCTCCCGCGGATTGGGGGCTGAGTGGTCATCAGATGGGCGGACAGAAGCTGGTGTCTAGACCGCGGAATAGCTCTCCGCACCTGCAGGAGGACTGGCCCCGCCTCTCCACCGCGGGGCTGGCAATCTCAACCCGGACAGCCAGAAGGGATTAAACGGTCCTGCGGTTGTTGTCCGAGGGTTTGGTAGTTAAGGAGATGTGATTGACAAGCATAGCTATCCAATCGAAACTGAGGAGAGTGCATGTCCGACCAATCGGAGGGCGTAAAAGGAAACCGACGTGCTCGCCACCCACCACGCTTTGCGTTGCCCGGAGCCACAGCAAACGTAAGATACGGAGGAGGAAGCCAAATGCTGAAAGAGCAACTTTGATTCGTCCATCATAAATCTCCTAAATGAAACCCTACTTGTGATTCGTCCAAAGTAGACCAAAGCCCCCGTGAGCTGGATGGAGTGCGAGGTGTGAGTCCGGGTAAGGAACCTGAGAGCCAGGTGAGGACCCGAGGCTCGGACGCGGAGGCCGGGAAGGTGAGGGCGGGAGGCGCGCGGACCCCTGCAGGCCACCCTGGCGGCAGGCCTGGGATTGCTGCTCAGATCCCAGGGCTCCCAGCTGCCCCGCTGGGAGCCGCTGTGTGGTGCGGCCAGCCGACTGAATCGTTGCCTGCCCGGGGAAAAGGACAGGACCAGGGACAGTGGAGCACCCTCGCTCTGTCAGGTGTCACCTTCGTGGTCTTTAGGCGTCCTGGCAGTTGGTTTTCCCCAGCCTTTGCATGTGACTTGACCAACATGGTGGAGGCATGAGCCTAATGCTTTAAAACCCAAAGGAGGCCGAAGTTTTTAAAGTAGAAAAGAAGTGTCAGCGATTATTCCTTCAATTTGCTTTTTGTTTTGTTTTGAGATGGGTCTTGGTGTATATCCCAAGCTGGCCTCAAACTCATGATCCTCCTGTCCCAGCCTTTTGAATGCTAGGATGACAGGTGTGTACCACTGCACCTGGTCATTGCAACTACTTTTGAAGGTTTGGAA